GTGTGTGATGAATGTTTGATATGACCTGTAATGGCCTTAGGAAAATATGAGCAAGCTAAGCCCACCAGGCCACAAAGGCCCTGAAATATTCACCTTCAAGAGCTGCTGACTGGACTCCTACTTCAAATAGCCCTTTAAAGTCAATAACACAACTGCAGTGGCCCCATTCATGGGACCTAATCACACTGTGATTGACAGGCGGATCGGTGCAGCTTCTGAAGTGTGTGTGCACATGCCTCTTTATTTTTATCTGCACATCCTGTTCTGACTGTTCTGAATTTTCTGACATTTGTTCTAGCAACAGTCAGTTACACTTCTGCTTTCAGCTGCTAAATTATTCTCCTGGTCAAAACTGAGCATATGTTATGTTCATATCACAGGATACAATAGCTGATTATTTGCTGCCAACTACAGTTAACATCTAGACCTACAACACTCACTTTCCTTTAAAATCTGACAGACTGCAGTCCTGTGATTTCTGTTCTTTTCATGTGCAATTCATTTGTAGCTGCTCATCTTTAACCCCCCCCTCTGATGCACTATCTGTTTCATATGAAAACTTGTTTTATGTTAGATGGAAACTCTCCACAGTCAAAGGTTTTTCTAGTGAATCTCTTAAGTTTCCCTGTTAGAAGTGTGAGGGACCATCCTGGATAAGATTAAAGATTCATATGACCATGCCCATATACAAATGAATAATACTGATAGGCTTAGATGCTAAACACTTTATGCATATAGGGGTAACTGAAAAAAAGATGCATCATATATGGACAATGCTTGGGGCTATTTCTGCTACTGTAATATATTAATTGTGCAAGTATGTTGTTTGAGAGAAGTATGGCCCCAGTGAAACGACTGAGTGTATTTCAGATGGATGGATGGATTAGATTCTTGGTAATTTACCCTATCTTCAAGCTGAGTATTATAGTTCCTGATTATTCTTAAACCAAAATTAAATTCTATTAAATCAAGCCTTATTTAGGGGATTCAAAGGTGGGCGATGACCATCTCTTAACTTGTTGTTCTACTGTGAAAGCTAATAAACTGATTAAATCCCACATTAAAAACAACTTAATTTTACTTTATTTTATATACCCCCTACAACTTTTTATGAAATAATTATTGTAATGCACAACAACGTGTCTGTGCAAAACAGTAGCATTAAAACAAAGCAAAAACAAAACAACAACAACAGTAGAGCATCGCCCAGATTTAGATCAGACCACTAACACTGTGCCCTCCCATTTAAAGGGAAGCACTCTAAATATCAAAGCAGTTGGTGCCCAACCTCAGTATTTGTATCAAATAGTATATGATGAAGCATAAAATCTTGGTGACTTCCGGGGGCGTTTGATTCGTTGCGGATGACATCAGCTGTAGAGTGAGTGTGCGGAAAAACCACAAGGCGCCCTCTTCTCCCCCCGGTTACTTAATGTGACACAATGTCTGCTGGCATAAAAAGCTAGGGCCACTCCTATCAAAGCTCCACTTGTATGTCTGGAGACCGCTCCGGTGCTCTGCATCGAATAAAGGGAGGAGGCTGCTGCTGGGACCCTGCTTGCGCACAGGAAAGAAAGAGACAGAGGAAAGGATGGCTACCCTGGTAGAATCTGCAGATCTGGAGACTTTAGGTGGCCAAAGCAACACCGGGGCATCTCCGACATCCCCCAGCCCTTCACATCACTTCAACGACAGCAAATTCTACCTGCTGGTGGTTATTGGGGAGGTCATAACGGAGGAACACCTGAAGTGTGCCATTGCGGACATAGAAAAAGGTAAGATGGAGCTTTGTGAGGTGGGTGTAGGCCACCGACAGCTAACATCTTCATAACAACTTGAACTGAGGTGTATCTCAGAAGTTTATTATAGCTTTAAAAGCCACGTTGGCTGTTGATGCACCTGTTTGCAACGCCGAACTTTACGCATGATGCAGTTGCGCGAATTACGCATATTAATGAATAATTGGCACCGTCTGAATCTTATTTAGTGGGGAACAATCTGAACTACAAGCGATGTTGTTCATAATAGAGCTATGGAACCGCCCCTCCCAGTAGCACCACCAAAAGAAACTGCCACAGAGTTACGCTTCCCACATCTTCAAATATCGTATAACCCACAGGTACTGCGATTTAACTGTGTGCAGTGTGAAGGTTTTTCTTTTTTCTGTAACATCAGTAGGCGCAGCTGCTGTCATTCACACACGCAGGCCAGGTCCTCCTCTAATAAAGCTGACAGCAATGATTCAGCATGAATTCCGGACTATGCGTCAATAATGCAGGATATCACATTTCTTAGCGTCAGTGCAGCTGCGTTTTTGTCCCGCAGCACCTTGCCAGGCTTTGTTCAAGTGCGTCAGGCTTTTGTTTCAGGCTCCCTTGCATCCTTTCACAATGAGGAAGAGACAACGGAGTTTATAGCCCATTTCTTTCTGTCTGCCGTGTTGTAGAAAGCTTGTCTTCACAAACCAAACGGAATAAATACGCTTTGTATTTTCAGACTACAATGGTTTCTTGTCTTTGATAACTATGCTGTAATAGATTAATTCCCTGTCTGTCATACTGTAACATTTCTCCATCCTCATCATCATCATCCTGCATCCACCTCTCTCATCCCACACCGGATGGAGGGCGTGGCTCGGTCCGCACTGCGGTCCCTACGGAAAGCCACAAGGACACATTTTCAATATGAGCAGGGCGTTTTAGAAATACAACAGCAGCTGCTGTAGTGACCCTCCTCACTGGCCTGAGTGCAGTTTGTCTGCGTGAGGGAGAGAGGGAAGATTGTGGCGCAGTTTCAGTGTGGGTGTAACACCAGGTCCGTTTTTATGCAGGCAGAAGGAAAGCTTCTCAAGAGTAAAGAGCACCTTGTTTCACCAATACTTTGTTAAAAGTTCAAATGTATCTGTAAAGAAGTGTTTGTTTTTGTGTGTCACCTCATTGAAGTTCATTCACTTAATAGATGTTTACCTGTGGAAGTCAGAGTCCACCTGAGTTTTCAGTTAAATTTATATTGATATTGCATGGGCCATAACTAGGCCAAAGTCCAATTTTGATATTCAATGTTTATTTCATTTTTCATTAGCTGCTGTTTCACAGCAGATGGACATTGCTCATTTTATGTACTTAGATGTCAAAATCTCCACTTTGTTCATTCATGACAGTTAAAAATATATTCTTGTAAAACTATTTATTTATTAAGTCTATTCTGTATTATCAAATGTGTTATGTGACATGATTCTTGTTCTCTTCAATAGCTTGTTGACTGGGCAAGAAAAACTACATTTTACCATCTTCATCTGTTAATCCATCATTAGTGCCACACCCATTATTTGTTGTTAAGGCCGACAGTGCTCTTTTGAGTGGAAAAAAAACTTTTATGTGCAGAGAAAAACACTTTGTTCTCTATTTTAAGTCCTTTTATCTCTGTTCCCAGTTCATTTCCTCACCTAACTTTAGAAAGGCCATCATTAGACCTCCACTCTGCATAATGATGGAGAGAGGATGATGCCACCATGACTCAGCTCAGTGTAGGGTACCAGTGAATCCAGCCCATGGCAAAACAAAAACCAGGCTATAGATATTTCCAATTATAGATTTCTTTTGTCATGCCAAACCAGTAACAAGTCCATGCACGTTTACGCCAAGATTTTTCAGTGAACTGAAGGCAAAGGAAATGGATGTGTGGGTGAGATATTGCACATATGCTAGACCTGTTGCCCAGTTCTTTGTGGCAGGTCTGCTCTGTGTATTGATTCATTTTCAGACGGCTGAATTAACATATGATTTTCTTCATTGGTGTCTTGCCTGCTCCTCATTTTTCTTTTCTTGTTGATTTTTGTATATTTGTCTATCTTGCAGGGATTCGCTCATGGGACACCAGCCTCATCGACTGTAATCTGGACCAGGAGCTCAAGCTATTTGTCTCCCGACATTCAGCTCGTTTCTCTGCAGACGTCAGAGGTAAACTTGGAATAAAAAGCATTGCATTGATAATTCCACACTACTGCTCTGAGTAATACCTTAATATGTTTCTAACAGCTTCAGCTGCATCCTAAATAAAACCTAATACACTGTTTTCTGATGGAAGAGATAAGTGGATCACTAATGTAAAAGCTGTAATACTGCAACAATGGAGAAATACTAGTCCTCCATTCAGAATCATAGTACATAAGTATTAACAGCCAGTGTAAAGTATTTAAAATGAAATTTTGTTGTGGTTATTTGATATGATTTTAAAATCTTTATTAAATAATGGGCAGGTTAATCTACAAAACTCCTCACACTGAAAAAGACATTGTGAATCCATGTTAGTTTAAAGTGCAGTCTGAAATTCAAATGTTTATTTAATCTTATTATCTGGAAATGGGTTTCAGTTCAAACATGACAAAATCAGGAACTAGAACTATGAAAAATTTCAGGTGAAAACTGTGAAAGTAGTTGAATTATACATACTTTTCACTTTTTATAAAGAACAACCATTTAAATTCTTCCTAAAATGACTTGATTAGAGGTAGCAGTGAATAATCAGTAAGATATACAAAGTAGCCAGCATCAGAAAAATATAGGGCAACATAACATTTATTGAAGATAAAGTACAGCTGTCTTGTAACTGTACATTCTACTGCTGCACTTCCCTCCAGTTTACACTGTCACTTCACAGTCAGGTACAACCTTCTTGCAGTATAATAAGTTTCATTGCCATCCCTTGATACATCCTCCCAGCATTTAGTTGCATGAAGCTTTTAAAACTGGATTGTTTACAAGGTGCGGGAGCAGCTTTATAAAGATGAAACCAATCCAGAGTGGCAGGACATACAGCGTATGGCCTTGACAGTCAGCTGCAGTGAAAGCCTCTGCTGGGCTCTGCGCCGTACTGCATCTAACCATCTAATCATACATCACAATAGACTGGCCCTGACTAAATCAGCTGATTTATTTCAATGCATCTAGGAATTGGTTGAGAAGGAGGAAAAACATTGTGATTTATGTGTGATAGCATTCACAGGACTCTGAATCCCTGCTCCCTTTCATCCCACCTTTGTTTCACCATTTTCCCATCCTCCATTCTTCTCGTTTGTTTCCTCCTGTGTGCTGTTGCCTTGCAACCCAGCACTAGGATGCGCAGTTGATTCAGGAGTAATTAGCAGTGTAGAATCCCCAGTGGAAAGTGTCTGTCCATAAAAAATAAAGAAGGAAGGGGAACAGAGAGGGTGGGGGGTGACTTGCTAACAAAGAAGGAGGATGAGAGAAAAGCAAACAAGGGAGCAAGCGATGAGAGGATGAGGTCAGAGGAGGAAAGAAGAGGGCGAAGATAGATGTGAGTGGTAAAGACGAGATAGTAATGCAGTTCTAATTAGTGAAATAAACCTCTTTGTCAAGGGAAGGATGCTCTAAGTCTTTTGACATTTCAATACATTTAATAATACTTTATGTTTTATGAAGAGCTTCCTAGTAAACTTGGCTTGACAATGACTTGTACTGTAAGTAAAAATGGTAAATTAGCTGTGCATAGTTTGACAGTTTGGGAAACATGCTTATTTGCTTTCTTACTCAGAGTTAGATAAGAAGCTTGATATTATCATGTTTGTCCAGTAAATATAAGGCTACAGCCAGCACACACTCAACTATATTAAATATAAAAAAATGCATATGTGGCTTTTTATGGTTAAAGCATTACAAGGTAAGCTAGCTTATCTTCAGTCTTTTATCCTATCATACTAGCAGCTATAGCACTAGATTTCCCACTTGAATTCACTGAAAAGTTCCCAGAATAAACCGTTTTTAACCACTCTGGGCATAAAATGAGCTCCAAAAAACAATTAATTTAGAAACACTTACTTCTCTGGAGATCTTTAAAAGTTTTTTACAAACTGCCCTGAAAGAAAAATGTTGCTGTTTTACATAATCAAGACCTGAAGTGAAACATTTTATGGATAATGTTGGTACACACAGTAAAGGTACCACATCTCATCAGAATTAATTTGACAGGTGGCCCCGCCCCTTGTCAACGAACAGCATTTTAGTGCGTTATCCTTTGAACATACATCCAAGCAGTTAGGGTGAACACGATACCTTTTTTTTTTTTAATGCGTCCCTCTGTCACGGTTCGTTTTCAACATGCTTTCCACGCTCGCCCCCAACCGCTCGCGTGGCTATGCTGTAGCAAAAAAGTAGTAATACAGAATGCTAAACTACTCTCAATGAACAGCATATTACTGCGCTTCTTATAACATATATCCAAGCAGATAGTGTGATCACATTACCTTTTTAAATCGTACCTCTGTCCCGGTTCGTTTTTTGACCCAACCGTTCGCATAGCTATGCAGCAGTTTGTAGCCCCGTCTGTAATCATAGATAAGAACACAGTACCTTTTGGAGATAAACACAAGTTTTTCTGTCACAGCCTAAATCTGCTGCCACTGGGCCAAGTCATGTCAATTTGGACATTTGTTCTGACTTTTTCAAAGCTAGCAGACCAAGATAACTCTAATCAGCAGGCAGCTGTAGAGCCAAGGAAACCCTTAGTGATGTGCTGGGTCTTGACTTCATTATCTCTGGCTGCAGATACGTCACAACTTCCTTATCTCCAGCAGCAGATGCAGAAAGGTTGGGGGTACCCCTGGGGGCCACGTGGGGGGCGGGACTAAGGGGCGGGGCCACCTGTCAAATTAATTCTGATGAGATGTGGTACCTTTACTGTGTGTGTTGGTATGGCCTATAGCTACTTTTAATTTGACTGTTTCCCCTTTGTTTTGTATTGTATGTGTTTTTAACTGGTGATTTTTTTAATTTATTTTTTATGTGAACTTATTTGTGCTGCCATCTTGACCAGGACTCCCCAGAAGAAGAGATCTTGTATCTCAGTGGGACCTTCCTGTCCAAAGAAAATAAAATCCACCTACCAGCACCATGAAAGCTCACTAATTAACATGTGTTTCCCAAGATGTCAGACTATTTCTTTAGGTGTGTACATTTGTACAGATTATCATAACAATACCTGTGTTTTTCAGGACAAAGCTGTTTTTTTAGCAGCTGCAGAGTTAAAACTGATAATCCATTCAAGACTCTCTCTAATGAGATTACTGGCGAGAGCATTGCATCTTATGATCAATAGTAATTAAGAATTGTGTTGCCTTTCATTAATCAATTTACCACATTTTTCACAAATATGGTGCAGTTTTCTCTTGGTGTCTACTGGACAGTCAATCTTGACTGTAAATCAGTGGATTGATCAGTCTGGAAGTACAGGGAAAGAAACTACAGCATTATATAGTAATTATTGACTTTTTTCTGACCATGCTGTTATTTGATTTGACAGGTTCATTCCTAAAGATGAATATAAAGGAGTTTAAAGCCTAATGTTGTTGACAGGAATCAATACTATGACACAGATGATTGACTGTTCTGTGATTCACCAGCTTAATAGCAGTGGCACTGCCATTAGCTCCATGTCCAGACATGTTACTTATGCTAGCTGGCTCTTTAATCCAGTTATTCAGGGACATGGGAACAAGTGACATTGAAAATTGGGCCCTATCTGTGCTGCTGAAAGTTACCACGGTCAATTATTGTGCTGTGGTAGATAAAGAAATGACAGGAAGGAGAAAGGTTGCTGACACATACAGGTGAGGTGTTAAAATTATAATCCTTATGTGTGAAGTCTTTCTGGGTACAAAGGTTAGGAGGCACTGAATTTAGTTGTTCCACTGATCTATTTTTGGTGTGGTGCCACCCTTATTGATGTTCCCCTGTCTGCCTCAGTGTGTGGTTGGCATGCCTTATTGGTCTTGCACTTTCTATTCTACCAGAAGGAGAATGCCCAGTGATGCATGTCACATTACCTTGTCACCTGCTGAGACAGAGCCACAGTGGATGTTAAGGATGTTTGTATTGACCAAGGCAGTTGTCAGGGTCAAGCAAGCTCCGATGCACATTCTGTCATTTTCTGGTGAGATAGCTAAGCCACACAGCAGTTTGACAGGGTGAAGGTGGTAGCATTAGTAGCTGCCTTGTGCTTCAGTAGTCAAAGATGTTTTCTATTGCATTAGCAATTACAGATTTGGCCTGTATCATGAGCAGGATGAACAACAGACTCTCATTTCACAGACCACTGAAAACAGCTTCCTGAATCACTTGGTTTTATAGGAGCACTGGTCATCACTTTAAGGCTGCTGCCTCTTCAAAACAAAGCTCAGTAAAGCCGGTTTCTCCCAGAGTCAACTGGGATTTATATGATGTTGGTATTAGGCCTAAATCGGTTTACTGTTTTCATCAGGCAGAACACACACACATACACACAAATCACAAACCGTATTAATTTTGTACAAAATCAAAAAATTGGAAGTTTTGAAATGAAACCTTTAGAAGGAACAGAATCAGACTTTATTGGCCAGATGTTTCGGACACATGAGGAATTTGACTCTGGTACATCGGCTCTCAATGTGTATGTACATATCACCATGCAAGGGGCAAGTAAACAGTAAACCAGCATAAGGCTGTATAATATAACAAAATAAGCAGTATAGACAGGCAGTAAATAATGCAGACATACAAGGAATGCTCATTGTGAAATGGGATAAGTAGGAATAAAAATAGAATACTTTGCCTCCAATCAGAATGTCCATACAGCATTCTTCGTTCACAAAAATCGGAGGAAGGTAGTTCGGTGTGAGTTGTCCGATATTTAACAGTTCTTCTCTGGTAAAAGTAATCCGGGATGAGTTGCAAAAGACCAAGAAAACAAAGAAAAACAACAAACACAAGAGAGCGCGAGTAACCAAGGCTGCCATTGCTGTCAGCGCCAGAAGATCAACAATATTAACTCCCATCACTAGCTTGATTGTTTCTGTAAATCAAACTTCATTTTAGTGATATTAAATACATTTGATTGACATTGATATTTAGTTGAAAAAAGATGCAATAAGATCACGAGATATGTTGATGCAAAATGTGCAGGATCGACAATAAAAGAACAAAAAAAACCTCCTCCTCTCGCCTTCCACCACAGAAAAAAGAAAACAAAGCTGTAATGGCCTTTTGTCCTTTATACATCTCTCAAGATATTGAATTTAGACGAGAGCTCAAAATTAAAGTCACACTGAGAAAACATTTTCCCTCCAGACAACTGATTCCTTTAAAACACACGAAGTGCAATATATTAGCTCCCCAAGGGCTTTACAAGTGCCCGTAAAAATGAAACCTAGAGTCATTATTTCTACCTATAGTAAACTCCCTAGAATCTTATTAGAGGCTAATAGTCATATACTGTATAAGAGCCACTTCACTATTAGCCTATCAGCAGCAGTGAATGGAGGCGTTTTTACCATATGGAGTGACAGCCCCTTGGGAGGAACAGCAGGGTTAATGGATGTGTGCTCCATGATGAGAATCTGCTATATGAAATATGTATGGAGGAATCAGCCCTGCAGTCAGATAGCTGCTGCAGTATTACACTCTGAATTTAAAGCTTATATCCCAACACCCCACTCCCCTATGAACCTCACAGGGAACTTATTATTGTTTGTCTTATTCTCAGCATCCTAGTGTCAGCATTTCTCCCTTTTTACAGGAGGAAATGGATATACATTAACAAAATATAACCCTGTGGGGGATTAATTGATTCATGAGATAACAAGAAGAAAGAAGCAGAGGCTGTGGAGCTGTGTGAGCGAAGTCAGACGTGTTGGGTTAAATAATGGTCCTAGAGATGCCCTGTTAATGTCACATCAGCTGGGCCAGAGGATACCCTCACCCCAGTGGATCAAAGTCATTATCATAATCAATCATCCAAAGTCTAGAATGACTTATAAGCCTGTCACACCCAACTGTTTATTTTCTGGGTAACAGCTCTGTCTTGTGAGGCCAAATAATTACTGGCTGTTACAGTGGGGCAGCACCTGTGTCATCTCACTGACGCTCAGCCCAACCAGAAACACCAAGTAAAGCTGAAACAATTAGTCAATCAATCAATAAATTGACTGTCAGAAAATTAATATGCAACAAATAAGCAACCATTTCAGTCATCCTTCTGATCAGAGCTACTGAAAACAATCTCTTTTTAGCTTGTCAAACATGAATATTTGCTGGATTTCTTAATCATTTTTTGTTTCTGTGTTACATTTGAAAGTATCAACTTTACTTCTGGAAAATTGTAATAGGCCTTTTTTCTAACTTTTTGATATTTTATAGACCAAATTATTAATCAATTAATCCAGGAAATAATATGCAGGCAGCCAAAAATGAGCACTAATGATGTTCTGTGTTGACTCAGTGCGTAAGTGAGATTGTTTTGTAATTATCCCAGAAAGAAATTGTCAGTTTTTCTTGAATCAGTTAATAATCAATTAATGATGAAATATAAACTCAGTGTGTATTTAAAATAAACTACATGCAGTCTAAGTGTATTATTGTCACCTAGTATAAAGCTCCGTGTAGATACGATACATGATACCTTACAACAAAAGATGATGGAAGAGAAATTTAAACCTGAAACAGGTTTTAATGCAGAGGAGGTGGATGCAGGTTATAAGGGGTGTGTTATACTTCCATCTCTAGAGATTTCATCTATCTTAGTGATAAAGAGCTTGTCACGGCAGAGGTCATTAACATTTACACAGCAATACTGGAGCTGCCATATCGTCTGTGTTTGATGAATTAGCTGATACTGAGCCTTATAGTAACCAGGTTATTGTGTGTGGTTTTGTCTGATCATTTAAGCAAAGAATCCTACTGTGACACATCATTTACATACAGCATGAGAGGGAAATTAGTGTTAGCAATTTAACTTAACAGGCATTAGATTAAAAACAATCCTATCTCTTGGTATTATGAAATTATATGACCTGGAAATCAGCTTTTTTTCATTTGCAGCTGTTTTATATTTTGCTTTGCAGGGCAGAGAATTCTTCACCATAAAAGTAACGTCCTGGAGACAGTTGTGCTTATCAACCCTTCAGATGACGCAGTCAGTACCGAGGTAAATGATCTATAAATGTTCCTGACAATCTATCTTATTATTATAGCCTTTTCCTTATTGTTTCTATAACTTGATATTTCAACTTTTACTGTCCTATCAGAGTCATGATTCACAGATCCATTTAAAGACTCACAGGCCTACATTGTTATTATTTAGCCTAGACTGTCCATTGTGTTTGGCAAATTATCCACCCTGGTAACAACTGATGTCTGTTGCTGTTGGATGAAATAAAAAATAGGAGCAATTAGGAGCTTGAGGGACAAGACTTGTGCTTCATTTACCGCTACAATAACAAGTGCAGCCTATTGCCTTTTTTTATTGCAGTAAAGCTTGTGTTACATTTTAATGGAGCCAAAGGCAGCATAGATGTCACCGCTCCTTTTCAGACTTGCCCCCACCCCCTAGCCATGTCTGCAGTCAAACTGGGCATTAATAATATCTCACAGCACAGCAGGATTGACCCTTTCCGCATCCAGAACAATTTATGTTGCTGAAATAGAAAAGAGAAAGACAGCAAGAGAACCAGTCAGCTAATTAGATAACGAATTTGACTGATGTTGTAATATTGTTGTTATGTAGCATTTCTTTGCTTTTGAACCCATTTGCAATAGATAAACAACTTGATTCTTACCTCGAGGTGTCATATATGCTTTCTCAACATTTCTTTCACTTTTTGCCCATCTGCTTTCAACCACAGTGTCTATCAAAGAAAATATTCTTATTTCCTGCTTTCAATTTCCAGGTTCGTTTGATGATCTCAGACACTGCCAGACACAAGCTTCTGGTTTTGTCAGGGCAATGCTCTGAAAACACTGGGGAGCTGATTCTTCAGTCTGGATCTTTCTCTTTCTTCAAGTTCATAGACATATTCACCGACCAAGAGGTGAGCAAATTTAAGGGTTATTTTTGTAAGCACACATATAACCTTATAGCAAAAATGACATATTTTGGTTTGTACAGCTCTTTTACGACAAGTTGAAGACATTCAAAAATGCACAGCGGTTGGCATCCCAAAAAGCAACTGTTCTACCTTTACATAATAGATTTGTACACAGCGGCCCGGGGCCCTCGGCTCCAAACCAAATTTTGTTGTACGTGTCACAATGTTACAATGGCAATAAAATAAAGCTGCTTCTTCTTCTTAAGAATTAACTGACACTGAGATAAAGTGTGTACACATACTGAAGCTTTGATTGCACAGTGTTATTCATTTCATTTTACTAATATTCAATATTAAAGCCAATAAATTTTTCTCATGTCTAGATTGGTGAATTGCTCAGCACCATTCACCCAGCAAACAAAGCCAACATTACACTCTCCTGCCCTGAACAAGGTGACTGGAAAAACTCTAACTTGGACAAACACAACCTGCAGGACTTCATTAACATGAAACTAAACTCCACTCTCATACTCCCTGAAATGGAGGGCCTCTCTGAGTTCACAGAGTATTTATCTGAATCAGTAGAGATCCCGTCTCCTTTTGACATGTTAGAACCACCAACCTCAGGTGGGTTCCTCAAACTCTCCAAACCGTGTTGTTACATTTTCCCCGGTGGCCACGGTGACGCTGCTCTCTTTGCTGTAAATGGCTTCAACATGCTCATTAATGGTGGCTCAGACAGAAAGTCGTGTTTCTGGAAACTGGTGAGACATCTTGACCGGGTGGACTCAATCCTCCTGACGCACATTGGTGATGACAACCTACCAGGCATCAACAGCATGCTGCAGAGAAAGATTGCGGAGATGGAGGAGGAACAGTCACAGGGATCGACAGCTAACAGTGACTGGGTAAAGAACATGATTTCTCCAGATATCGGTGTTGTGTTTGTGAATCTTCCTGAAAACCTGGATAGCCCTCAGCCTAATTACAGAGTACGGAGGAATATCGAGGAGGCAGCATTCACTCAGCAGTTCCTCACCAAGCTCAATTTAAGGACAGAGCCTCTGGGAAGGCCTGTTGGAAACACTATAGAACCAATCATACTTTTTCAAAAAATGGGTGTTGGGAAGCTTGAGATGTATGTGCTTAACCCATCAAAGAACAGCAAGGAAATGCAGCACTTTATGAAGCAGTGGACAGGTAGTGAAAACGATACCACTTCCATTCTGCTGCCAAATGGAAAAGAAAGTGAGTTCCCTGTCTCTTACTTGACTTCTATCTCAGCACTCATTGTGTGGCACCCTGCAAATCCCTCAGATAAGGTTGTACGTGTTCTCTTTCCTGGAAATGCCATCCAACATCACATTTTTGAAGGCTTAGAAAAGCTAAAGCACCTGGACTTTTTGAAGCAGCCAGTTGTCACTCAAAAATTGATGTCTTCTAATATGCCATCAACACCAACACTAAAGCAAGCTCAGATGAAACACAGAACAGATAGCAAAGAGAGCCTAAAGTCTACCCCAAAGCCATCTCCAAGCAAGAGCATCAGAAAGGAATCAAAGGATGAAGCACCAGAAAAGGCAAAGACAGATGTAGAGCCAACCAATGAAACAGCACAAAAAACTGAGAAGAAAGAAAAGGTTCCACTGAAAAAAGAAAAGGCAAAAGCACCTGAGAAAGAATCTAAAGCAAAGACAGAACATGAAACTCCTGAAAAGAAGAAGTCTGAAATAAAACCCAAAGTTGAAAAGGAAAAAAATATTAAGAAGGAGACCAAACTGTCTGTGGAAAAGAAAAGGGATATTAAAAAAGAAGTCACAAAGAAAGATGATACGCCCAAACAAGAAAGTAAAAAAGATGAAAAAGTAAAGAAAGAAGAGGCAAAGAAGGTTACAAAAAGGGATATCAGAAGAGACTCACCTCTGAAGGAGAAGAAGGAAGAAAAGAAAGAGCAAAAGAAGGATGTCAAAAAGCCCTCTAAAGACATAAAGAAGACATCTGCTGTGGGGGAGGAAAAGAATCTAAAACCAAAGACCCTGAAAAAAGATGATGCCTCAAAGAAAGATGCAGGAACCCCATCAAAGATAAAAGAGAAAGGAAAGTCAAAGGTGACAAAGAAGGAGACAAAGGATGATAGCAGCAAACTTGCAGCTAGTGCTGCTACTGTTGCAGAGGATGCAGAAAAGGAAAGAGCTCTAATGTCCTCACCAGAGGACCTCACTAAGGACTTTGAGGAGCTCAGAGCTGAAGAGTTGGTGGAGGATGATGCGACTGTGCAACAACATAAGGAAGAAGAGTCTGTGATGATCCATCATGAAGAAATAATACAGACCAAAGAGTCACCTGAAGCACTGGAGTCTGTGGACGAGGGTATAACAACAACAGAGGCTGAAGGAGACAGTGGAGAGACTCCAGACGAGCAAGTTCTTAGGACAAAAAATGGAAGTGCAAGTGAGAAGTTTGAAGATGAGGGCACTGTAATGGAGGAGGCATCTGAGGGAGGGGATTATGAAGAAAAAGGAGAGATTGAAGAAGTCTATGAACCACAGAAGAGAGAGATAGAAGAAGTCTATGAACCACAGAAGGGAGAGATAGAAGGAGTCTGTGAACCACAGAGAGTAGAATCAGATCAAGATAAACTCACTCCCAGTGAAAATGACAAACAAGACAGGCATGATGACATCAAACCAGCAAGGAGTGTTGAGGATAATGATGATGTAATTAATAAAAATGTAGAAGACAAGCTTACAAGTGAAAGAGCAACCGAGAAACAACATATGTTTGTATCAGCCTCACCTAAAGTGTCCTCACCTGTTTCTCCAGCTGCATCTATCCGTGATGAAATGCTTCCAGTTGGCTTTGAGAGCTCAACAGCCTCAGATGATGAAAACCGAGATGAAGCTGCTGAGGACTACACTGTCACCTCTGGCCACACTCAGTCCACCATTGAGATCTCCAGTGTTCCTACTCCCATGGATGAGATGATGACTCCTAGGGACATTATGAGTGACGAAACCACCAATGATGAGACTGAATCTCCTCCACATGATGTTGGAAAGTTTGAGACATCAGTATCTGGAGAGTATGATAGGAAGAAGCTCTCTCCACTGCAGGACATCCCAGGGTCAGATCACTCTCCGAGTCATGCCACAGAGGGCCAGGATTACAACAACTCTGCTTCTACTCTATCTCCACCTTCATCGCTAGAAGAAGACAAATTCTGTAAAAACCTTCCCTCTGTGGGGAAAGGACTCACCACAACTCAAGAGTCATATGAGAAGTATGATGCAGACTCAATTAGACTCAGTTCCACTTCCACAGCATCACCTCTTGTTCGTTCTCCCTCAGTGGATCACAAAGATACATTTGACTCTCCACCAATGTTTGCTGCTCCAATAGAACTGTCTACCACACTGGCAAAGTGCACCACCTCAATAGATGATTACTCCATCAGCCCAGATGAAAAGACATTGGAAGTAGCTAACTCGCCTCAGTCCTCAGGACACACACCTTACTATCAGTCACCAGTAGAGGAAAAAGCAGGAGCTCTACCTGTGTCAGATGACAAAGCAGAAGGCCCAGTAATCGTAGAGGTCACAAGTGATAAAGAGGATTCTTCCAACAGAGTTACCCCAGAACCTGGTCAACCAGAACCTGAAAGTTTCTCCCATGTAGAGAGGGTAATGTCCTCTCAAAAAAGCCCACCTCCAACTGAGCCTGATTCTCCCACAAAGAAGGAACAGTCACACTTTGATATAGATGACAAGAAAACTGGAGATAACGGCCATGAGCCTGTTTTGTCCTCAGCACCAACTAAACTTGAATCAGACACCAGTCACTTCACTGTGTTCAAAGAAGAAAGTAAAATGTCCATTTCAGAGGGTACCACATCAGACAAGTCAGGAACCCCTCTGGAGGAAGTGGTGGCAGAAGACACATTTTCACATTTAGCTTCAGCATCCACGACCTCCCTGGCCACCAGCTCCTTGCCGGAGCCCACCACCGATTCTCCTTCTCTTCACGCAGAGGTAGGCTCTCCTCACTCAACAGAAGTAGATGACTCTCTGTCTGTGTCCATGGTTCAGACCCCAACTACCTTCCATGAGGCTGAAGGATCTCCATCCAAGGAAGACAGCCCCAGGCCAATGTCAATCTCCCCAGATATCTCACCAAAAACAAAAAGCCAGCCACAGGTACAGGACACAAAATCCCCAGAGCACTCTGCCATGTCAATAGAGTTTGGCCAAGAGTCCCCTGACCACTCCTTAGCTATGGACTTTAGTAAGCAATCCCCAGAGTACTCATCTATAGGAAGCAGCTCCCGTGCTACAGAGAATGGCCCAACTGAGGTTGACTACAGCCCTTCAGATGGAACTGGTGTAAGACCTGTATCTGGAGAGCCTATCTCCACAGTAGACAAGTCTTTGTTTTTTGAAGAGAGTGATTCAATTCGTGCCACTTCTGCAACCCCATCAGATGCATCTCAGTCCACACCATCAGTTACAACCCCATGCCAAATGACAGAGATACCACATGTCATGGGTGAGCAGACAGATAAGTCTCCAGTGACCCCTAAAGCATCTTCTCTCACCCACTCTCCCCATTCTGATGAACCATCCCCAGTGCTAGGGAGTTCCCCAGTTAAAGACAGCACCAGCCCAATTTCACCATCTGCTGAGATCATAGGTAATAAATCTGACACACAGCAGAAATATGACAAGTCACCCTCACCTCCCAAAGCTACTTCTCCTTCTTCTAATACCTTTTTAAAAGAAGAAATATTTTCCCCAGCAAAGGAGAAGATTCCATTTAAATGTGAGGATTCTACACTTGAGGCAAAATCTCCTACAAGCCCCAAAGTTCCTTCCCCATCATGTCTACCTCTCTCCTTTGATTCATCTAATTACAATTATGCCTGTGGGTCCAGGGGCCCAGATTCCACTAGGAGGAGCCCCTCTGCTTCATCTAAGGCAGATGTCGACCTCTGCCTAGTGACTTCATGTGAGTACCGTCACCCCAAGACAGAACTGTCCCCATCTTTCATCAACCCAAACCCTTTAGAATACTTCATCAGTGAAGAGAACAGCTTGGATGAAGAAAAGCCTCTGGCCAAGTTAGGAGGAGGGCCCCCACCTCCTGGGGGTAAGCTTTCCATCAAGCAATGTGAGGAGACCCCACCCACATCCATCAGTGAATCTGCCCCCTCCCAGACAGATTCAGATGTTCCACCAGGGACAGAGGAGTGCCCCTCCATTACAGCAGATGCTAATATTGACTCTGAAGACGACTCTGAGACTCTGCCCACTGACAGAACCTTGACATACAGGCATGCTGATCCTCCTCCAGTAGGACTCAGGGACTCTGCTCCATCCTTAGGCCACCATGATGTCTGTATGGTGGACCCAGAAGCCCTCAAGGCCGAAGAAAACCTCCAAAATGCAAACACAGATGGAGGAGAGAAATCCAAGAAGAAAAAACTCTCAAAAAAGTCGTCATCTCCAGCTAAGAAGAGCAGTCTATCAAAAGTCAAGGACACGAAGACTGCCTCTCCAAAGAAGAGTGTTGGAGAGGGCAAAGATGCCAAAAATGCAACTAATACCTCTGCATCCAGAGGTGTAAAAAGTGCCACATCGGGTGAATACAGTTTCCTTATTATCAGACTTTATATCATTTTACTATTACACACTATTCGCTCATATATTTTAAGAATTTATATAAGAATAAAACATATTTTTGCCTCTTTTCAGGTACAAACAGTGGAAAGGTATCAGGTGGGCTATCTCTGCCCAACTGTCCTCCCATGTACTTGGATTTGGTTTACATCCCCAATCACTGTAGTGCTAAAAATGTGGACGCTGAGTTCTTTAAGCGAGTGCGCTCCTCTTATTATGTGGTCAGTGGCAATGATCAGACAGCTCAGGAACCCAGCAGGGCTGTCCTCGATGCTCTGCTAGAAGGAAAGGCACACTGGGAAAACAACATGCAGGTAGGTTTTAAGTATCAGTATGACAATTGTGAAACTGTAAAAGCTCAATATGCATTTGGTATCTTTGGCCACCAGTGTTGCTGGTTTTATTTCACGTGAGAAAACAAACATAATTTTTAATTCAACTCAATAGATTAATTAGTTATGAACAAATTTCACAATTGGCTCTTTGGTCCTCATTTCATCTCTTCTGCATTTAAAATAGATGAAATTCTGTTAATCTGTGGCGGAATGTGGTATATAACACGGCTAAATGAAAACAAATCAACCAGACTCAAACCATTTTCCTGCCATTGATTTAAAAGACTAATATAAATAACTCTCCAGATTTCTATTTATCTGTTGAATCTCAGATACTAATACTACAAAACTCTGTATACAGATATCAAAATATATTGTCATTTCTCAGTCTTCACAAAGTCATATTTATTTATTTACATTCAAGATGCCACTGCAATATGAGGTGATGTGATTTACAGTTACATGACATAACCAGATCAGAAGGCGTGAGGAAAGATGAAGAATAAAGAAAGAAAGAACATGTTTGGTTGAGAGACTGATACTGGAATTTTATGAATGTCTGAGCTGACAAACCTCCCTCCCCTCTAATGTCAGGTCACTCTGATTCCAACCCATGACACTGATGTGATGAGGGAGTGGTACCAGGAGACCCATGACAAGCAACAGGAGCTGAACATCATGGTCCTGGCCAGCAGCAGCACCGTTGTCATGCAGGATGAGTCCTTCCCAGCTTGTAAGATAGAGATGTAGGCCTGTTTGGTATGAGATCTAAGGATCAGGAGGCCTAGTAACTGATAATGAGAGGGATCGTTATTTGAGGAAAAAACAAATCAATGTAGTATAAAACCTAAGCTGATTCTTAATTACTTCTATAAAAAAAAATGATACTTCTTGATTACTAAACCCTGGAAACATAAATATCTCCAATGAGGACTAACTACAAATGAGCTTTGAGGGGCTCCATATGAAGAACAATGTTTAATTTATAAACGAATGTGTCCTTGATATTGGGAGCATACTGTAATTGCTACTGGGAAGAAACAAGAACTCAAACATCCTGGCCATGATTGTCCAGGTACACTAACTCTAGTACAGCTCAAGTAATTATACATTGAGTATCTTATGATCAAACCCTATGCGAGCTTTAAATCAATTTAATTACTGTCAAAGAATAAAACTGTTTAATTAATGGCTGTTATCCACACCAAAGTGTAAAACAACATGCTTTCTGTTATTGCCTTAGGGAGTTAAAGTGAATGTAGAACTGGTGAAGAACTGGTGCAACTAGCAAGAGTAGGCAGGTGATCTTACACCCCGGAGGCTGATCCATAAAGGACTGTTAAATGGTTACATATGATGGTAAATATAAGTTAACATGAAGGAATACTCAACACTGATTAGCATTAATATGACATCTAACTTCATATTCATCACAGGCAACAGTGCCCCACACATTGTGCAACTGTTCCTCAAGTTTTTAAGTCAGCTGGATTTTATTTTAATGTAAATGGATGATTTCCTTTTTCCTCTTGCCTGGTTTATGTTGCTGCTAATATATGAATATGAATTTAATGTTTCAAATTTAAAATATGCTTGATTGTTCAGAGAGCCTTTTACACTATGCAACAGAAGGTTGCCTCAGAATACTCTCCTTTCTCCTTGTTACATCACTAAAACTATCATTTTTAATAATGTTAACGTTTTTAAGAGGGCAGTCTTTTATTTCAGATTGTTTTATTTACAGATTTTAAGTTATTTAATAAGAAAAAGTCAGATCTTGTTTCTGTCACCTGTTTTTATGTAATCACTGAGTTATGGAGGAGCTAGCCTTTTCCCAATGTAAAGCTGGGGATGCAGGATATTTTCATAAACCTTAAAATGTCTTGTTTTTCTAAAGCATTGTATTATAATTATAAATAACTTTGTGGCCAATAGAATGGGATGGCTGGAATACATGTATGAGTTATGACAGATTAGGGTTTTTTGCTCTTTTTTAATGGGCATTTTGCTCAGACTTGTATTAAGAACAACAGGGCTGTATAGGCTAAATAAATAAATGTGAGGAGCATTTTATGATTTTTGCAAGTTGTGCCATGACATTGTGTACTACAATAACTCAAGCAGTTGCCCATGGCACTGTATCACTGTAAAGCTTGATTTTGGGTGCAGCACAGTGTAGATTTTCAGGTTGTTGGGAGCACTTAGGGAGGGTGTGAACTTTAGCCACGATGAAATGGAAACAGCTTCCAGTAGAGGCATAGCCTTGACAGGGGCAGCACACAGAGGTTGGAGTGAGTGACGTGTGTGTTTTAGATGAAAGCATGTAAAACAAAACTTGACACTTTAAACACAAATATGACATACAAAGCTAACAGTACAGAGGCCACAGATCAACTTTGATAGGCCAGCTTTTGGAGAAACATTTAACAAATCACATCTTGACGATTACCGACTTTGCTACTTTGGGCAGTTCAGTCAACTCACCAAGCTCACCAGATATTTCATAAATGATGCCAGGTGTTCACTATATAGTACTACAGACAAGTTTTCCTGCAGGGGAACTTCAAGTCAACACCATGACTATACAGTCAATCAGCAACAAACATACAAACTCTGAACTTACATTTCTCTTTTCTCTGCACTTCCTCTATTTATCTCTCTACAGTATCTATTTATCTCTGCCTTTTCTCCTTCTCTTTCTCATGGGAGGACTTTAATAATGTTTGTCTGCAGCTGTGTGGTATATTTGTCTTGTGACGTTGCATCCTCTCTGCCCTTTTCCCAAACTAATATGTAACCTATAGCAGTTAGTTTCAAGTGAAAGTATTCCTTCGTGCTTTATGATGTTTGTGGGCAATATTTCCTCTACCCATATTGCAAATCACTTAATGTAAGAGGAACCACTACTAGAGAACAAACATTCAAAAACAACCACAATAAAATGTTGTGAAAAACAAAGATTTGTCTTTGTCATAACCAATTTGTCTCTAGTTAATTCTTTATAGTTCTGCTCATATAAACAAGACTAAAAGTCTAGTCACACTACAGAACCGCTTCAAAATGCTAACATTAGTATGATAACATACTGTACTCTTAATGAACATGCTGATGTGTTGCAGGTAAAGTTTACCATCTTAGTTTTGACCTAGCGTGCTGTGCTAGCATCATCACAAAGTATCTGGCTGATGAGAATTAGTTTTGCAGGTACGGCAATGGACAAATTAATTTTAGTTTTTGAAGTATTTCACTCATAATCATAAATAGGTGAGTTTCCACCTCCCTGCTTGTATGTACATTTTCACTATGCACATTAAAATCCTTGAGTGGAGATATGGGAAATTAAAAAAAAAATCTAAAAAATATTGCATAAAAGCAGCTCATAATGTGCATGGTGACTAAAGCTTCTGCTCCTGCTAAAGAGACTGAAGATAATGGCAGTCATTGTTTCTTTTATCATCATCATATAACCCACCTCTTCTTCTGTAATGGTTTAGTAGCACCTGACTGGAGAATTTGTGTCACCATCACTTTAATAGTAGATGGAAACATGCATTAGTTTGTATTTTCTTATGCTAAATTTCTCAAAATTCTATTAAAATTTGCATTATAGTTGGATGGGAACCCACTTAATACCAACCTGATGGTGACAAAAAAAAGTCAGGGGATTAGCAGAGTGATTGGAATTCATCGTTCTATGGATCTTGATTTTCTATACATAATTTATTTCAAATGATTGATAAGATATTTCAGTCTGGACCAAAGGAATAGTACAATGTGCAGTTAATCCCTGTAGGTGGCAGCAACACACCAGTGGTTAGTTATTGCTTGTCCATTTTTGTTTGAAGAAGGGCCTCATGCTACAAACAACCACGATTGTTATTGCTAAATAAATTCTCAGTTAACGTTACAGTGTTTAGTGCTTATGGTCGGCAGAAGGCAAAATCAATATGACTAGCATAATATTCTTCTTTTCGTTCAATTGGTTTAGATCAAAGCATATTCATGTGTTAAAATGGCCCAGTCAAAGTCCAGACCTAAATCCTATTGAGAATCTGTGGCAAGACTTGAAAATTGCTGTTCACAGACACTCTCCATCCAACCTGACTGAACTGGAGCTATGTCGCAAAAAAGAAGGTGCAAAAACTGCAGTCTCTAGATGTGCAAAGGTGGTAGAGACATACCCCAAAAGACTTGCAGCTGTAATTGCAGTGAAAAGTATTTCAACAAAGTATTGACTCAAGGGGGCTGAATACATATGCACGCCAAACTTTTCAGATTTTTATTTGTAATAAATCTCGAACACCATGTATCATTTTCCTTCCACTTTACAATTATGCAATACTTTGTGTTGGTCTTTCACAATACAATACATTTAGGTTTGTGGTTGTAATGTGACAAAATGTGGAACAATTCAAGGGGTATGAATACTTTTGCAAGACAATGTAGCTCAGTTATGGGAAGCATTGTAAACAGGTAGTTAAATTTGAGGTAGAGTTTTCATTTTGACAGCGTTTGAAACCATCTTCTACCTTTTTAGCAGAGAGGTGTAGTTGAGGAGTAGACATTTTAATAAGAAATACACTCTATATACAGGCACTGGACATTCAAACAATAGAAAAAGAATTTACATAGCATCAGACCTTGTGGGAGGTTTCCTAGTGGAACATATTACACAGCCATACTAAAGGTCCAGAGAAGCTTTATCAGTGTACAGAGATCTCTATAGAACCATGCATGTAATGGTGGTTTTGTGCAAGTGATATCTCAAGTGCTGACCTATGCAGTCTGCCTTTCTCTGTTGCTGTGCAGCTGTGTGGAGGTCCACACTTATTCAGTGCAAACACTCTGAATTATTACCCAGTTCATAATAATTGCCTGTGTAACCTAGTATTTCAGCAGCAGCACTAGCAGATGATGTAATGTACTGTATATTTTTTACAACTTGCTGTTGTGTTGCATGAACGTTGAAAGGAAATAGCATTTCGAGGACTCCAATTTAGCCTTGCGTGGCTTTCTCGCCACTGAGGTTTGAGTTGCAGCTTTCATCATTCAAACTGCAATGATTAGTCGATTCATGGACTAGTTGATCAACTGAAAATTATACGGCAAATATTTTGATAACTGACTAATCAAAGCAAAAATTCTGAACTTCCTCTGGCTGCAGCTTGTCATTGTGCAGTTTTCTTTAATTGCATATGACAGTAAAATAAACATCTGAAGGGTTTAGACCCAGCAGGTAAGATAAGCTAATTACTTTGGCCTATGAGAAATTATGAATGTCATTTTTCTCTCTTTTTTTGACATTTCATAGATTAAACAATTAATTGTCAGTTACAGCTCTAATTTATGCTGTCTGTAGATAATGCATCCTCAGTGGATTTTTCTATATTCTCTTCTTAGATAAGGATAAGGATGAACGTAGTTCCATGCCCAGACGAATTGTCGTTGACCAACTGTGCTATCATTAGTGACAAGGAGCAACAGTTTGAACAGTGAGTGGAGTTCTTCTGATACATGTAACTGTGCTGTTACAATGAGCGCTTCATATCGAAAACCTCAGTAACTTCATATAGAGATGGGTGATAAATTAAAGGAAAAACCAGCACCAAGAGTCTTAGTGAGATGCTGGGCCACCAAAACAGTTTCAGTGCACCATGGCACCAACTCTCCTAGTGTCTGACCTCCACTGGAGGGATGTACACCATTCTTCCAAAAAATATTCCCTCATGTGGTGTTTTGATGATGGTGGTGGAGACTCTAACACCTCGCTCCAACGTCTCCCATAGTTCAACTGGGCTCAGACCTGGTGACTGGGAAGGCCACAGAATACGATTCACATCTTGGTCATACTCATCAGACCAGTCACTGACTCCTCATGTCCTGTGGACGAGGGCGCTGTCATCCTGGAGGAGGCCGCTCTTATAAGGATAGAAATGTATCATTACCAAATAAAGGTGATCAATCAGAGCAACTTTGTATTGATTTGCACTGACTCTTCTCTCTAAGGGGACAAGTTTACCCAAACCACGCCAGCATCTGCATTAATTATGTTTCTCCACTCATTTATTCGGGTTTTTCCTTTACTTTGACACCTCTCTGTACATTGAGTAACTAAAACAGGATGAACCATAACAAATAGGGTTACACTCATTCTCGTTCAAGGTCAAGGTCAAAGTGTTAATTGCCATATGCACAGTTAGGAAACGTGTTTCCCTGTACAATGAAATTCTTACTTTGCCGTCCACATGAATGCCACAAAAATACAAATGAAATATAAAGTAGATAAATAAGTAACACAAAATCTAAGGCACTTTAAGCAGCAAATGCAGCAATATAATAAAAATATATAAGACTATAATAAGAGAATGTGTGCTGCATGGGAGCAGCATGTGCATTAGTCAACAGTCAATGTGTAATTATGCACAGTGACTGTTAAATCGCTTTCACAGTTTGCACTGTGACCTTTCTGCAGGAGAACCAGGAGCAAGCGAGCAAAAGCCGAGAGCAGCAGAGGGCGAGAGAGCTGCAGTTCAAGAGGCAGCAGAGAGAGCGAGCCAATCAGGGCGCACGGCCGTTCTTCCTCAAGGAATGTAAGTAACACTGAAAGTCGGGTTTGTAGGATGTAGAAGCCAGTGTGTCACCGGGTCGGTACAGCCACTCAGACCGACTGGGCGGTGGGGGGGGCGGAGGCCCCAGTTGGCCGCAAACAAAAAGAACACATAGAATAAAAATAATAGAATCACTCAATGAACACTGGTCAGCAAACAACATATATATATATTATTCCACAGAGTACGTTTATTAAACAAAAAATCCAAAGAAATAATAATTACCCAGCTCAAGGATCGAATTTAAATCTACACGCGGGCAGTCTTTCATCTACATGCATCGCGACTCTGTGCACAAAACAAAACAAAATAGGATCTCTTAAACATGCATCGGACATCCCTTACTTCGTCCACAACCATATGGTACAACTTTATTCTCAGCCATCCTGAATAACGTTAAGATAACATCTCACCGTTGATATATGCATCGATTCCCACCCCAAGCCATGCGTGTATCTTCTTCCGGGATTTCCCAGCATACATTGGTCTTTTCCATAACCCCAAAAAAACTAAGGCCATCTACTGTTCAAAATGTGCAACTACAGCAGAAAATAACAGCTATTTTTGTTCACCTGGTTACATTCTCCCCTGCCTAATTGTCAACGTCCTCGGTGACAGAGCAATGTCCCCTAACCCTTTTTAGAGCCTCTCGGGAAAACACAGTATTTACAGATGATGATGATGAGGATCTGCAAGGATTTGTGATACCACGGCAGAACTTAGTGATTCTAGAACCGACCTAGGCTCATGGTGTAGGTTTGAATGAGTCCCGGCTGTACTTCTTGTGCTTCTGCGAGGACCTGGTATCAGAAGCCTGGGTCCACTACGGGCAGCCAGGATAGGAACCTGTTCATCCCTGTTGGAACCGGATCCAACTTCGGGCTCAACTGATAACACCTCCTCCTTATCAGCTAGTGGAAACTCCACCGTCCCCAGTTTTGACTCAAAATCTACAGGTTCCCCTTCGATGTTCCTGAGGGGTACCCTTTCTGTGTTCAAGGAAGGATTTACATCCAAGGCAATCTCTTCAATTATCACACCACACTCTGGTTCCTCATCTGCTATCTGTGCTTCCCTATGTACATCTACCTCACATCCTGTCGGTGTCACCTTGGTGGGGGGTAGGATGGTCGGATTAACACAAGGTCTGATATCAACCCTGTTCACTCTCTTCACTGGGCCTCCTTCTACAGGCTGTACTGTGTACGTTGTGCCCAGTCTGTCTACAACCTGATACACAGTTGCAGCCCATGCATCCTGGATTTTGTTGCGGCCTGTAGGCCTGTGTCTCAGATAAACATGCTGGCCTACCTCTACTGTGGGACAGTAGACTTTGTCACCCTGAAGAGCAATACGTTCTGCGGCTTTTTGTTCCGCGTATTCCTTTGCTCTAGCATGTGCCTCTTGCAGTCTTTGCTGATGAACTGCCAGCCAGTCAAACTTGGTATTTCCAGGGCGCTCGTTCGCAAGCAATGCGTCCACTGGAAGATGGGGTTCTATCCCATAAAGCAAAAAATATGGCGAATAGCCTGTGGTTGCATGTGGGGTCACATTGTAGGCGTAAATGAGCTCTGGTAAATGCTGAGGCCAGCGGCTCTTTTTGTTAGCCGGGAGTGTCCGCAGTAACTCATGTAGTGTGCGGTTAAACCGTTCGCACTGAGCATTTCCAGTAGGATGATGTGGGGTCGTGCGGGTCTTCTTCACCCCATATAGTTTACAGAGTTCAGCAATCACTTCACTTTCGAAATTACGGCCCTGGTCAGAATGCAATCTTTCAGGCACACCGTATTTCATAAACCACTCCCGCAGCAGCAACTTTGCTGTAGTCTCAGCTTTTTGGTCACGAGTGGGAAAAGCCTGAGTAAACTTGGTAAATACGTCAGTTATCACCAACACATTTTCGTGACCATCTGTGGCTGGCTCCAGCACTGTGAAGTCCACTGCAACAACCTCTAGAGGTCTGGATGCAAGAAAGGACTTCATAGGCGGGCGAACCTTGGGATGTGGCATTTTGGTTAAAATACAGCGCTGGCAAGTCTTTACCCACTGTTCAACATCCCCGTGCATGCCTACCCAAAACGCTCTCTGTCTCAACAACTGTAGGGTCCTTTCTATGCCTTGATGACCCATACGGTCATGCACACTCTCCAGGACTTGTTTCTGCAAACAATTAGGAACCAATAACTGAAAGCAGTCCCCATGACGTACGTCTTCAATGACTCTGTAAAGCAGCCCACCTCTCTCTCTGACATACTTCCATTGTTTCAACAGTGACTTCACCCTTCTGGGAAGGCTTTTCTTCTCCTGGGGACCAGGCTTACACTTTCGGTCCCAAAATGTACGAAACACACTAAGTACTGAGTCCTGATTTTGGAAGGTTTGTAGCTCCTCCTTTGAGTAACCTGGGAGGGTTGGGGTGGCTTCCTTACTATCAGACGGAGGGTCAGCAGCTCCCAAAGCTCTGATCTGAGTGACCCTACAGCATTCAACTCCCGCTGTTACTAGCTCAGGTTCAAGGGATGTGCCTTTACAAATCAGGTTGCAGATGGTGACACAATCATCAAGCTCTACATCCTCTCTCTCAGGCTCGGGCTCCCCTGCTAATGGGGGCCATGAGAGAGCATCAGCAGCAGCATTACATTGTCCTGGATGATACTGTATGACAAAATCAAAAACAGCCAATTGCACCACCCATCTTTGCTCAATGGCTCCCAAACCACCTCCTTTTACCTTTCCCGAAGCAGCAGTGCGATCGCCTCGATGTACAGAGTGAGTCTCTAGCTGAATCGCGGAGTCTGGAACTCTGTGAAAAAGCCAAGTCTCGGTGAGAATTAGAGCACAGCATTCTCTGATTTCCTGTTGTGTTGTATTCCTAGCCCTTAGCTTGTTCAGTTTGAAAATCAGGTTACGATGGTGACACAAGATACAGAACAGCACCCAAACCCAGACTGTTTGCATCAGTTTCTAAGATGAAAGGGCGAGTGAAATCTGCAAACCCTAAAACTGGTGCAGTCATGAGCCTCTCCTTCAACATGTCAAAAGCCCCTTGACAGTCAGCAGTCCACAGTACACTGAGTCTCTGACTAGCCTTGGCCGAACTGTAAGTACCTTGACACCAAGTCACAACATCATGTAAGGGAGCAGCAATCTTTGAGAATCCCTCAATGTATCGTCTGTAGTAGCCACACAACCCCAAAAAGGATTGCAGCTCCTTCACTGTGGATGGCACAGGCCAGTTCTTAACAGCTTCCACCTTGGAGGGGTCTGTTGAAATCCCCTCTGCAGATATCTGGTGCCCCAGAAACTGGACCGCTTCCTGAAGAAAATGACATTTTCCCCACTTAACTTTAAGTCCAGTCTGTTTCAGCCGTGCAAACACAATGTCAAGCCTTTCCAAATGTGATTGGAAAGTGGAGGAATACACTAGAATGTCGTCAAGATAGACTAACATTATCTCAAAGATCAGATCATTCATAGTTGCTTGCATCAACCTTTGGAAGGTTGCCGGACCGTTACAAACACCCATAGGCATACGCAAGTATTCAAAAAGCCCAAAGGGTGTGGTGAAAGCAGTTTTGTGCCGGTCGCGCTCATCTACCATAACCTGGTGATAACCACTTGCAAGATCAACAGTAGAAAAATACTGAGCCCCTTGTAATGCATCAAAACTCTCATCAATGCGTGGTAATGGGAATGCATCTTTCTTAGTTTAATACTTGAGCTTGCGATAGTCCACATATAACCGAATGCTGCCATCACTTTTGCGGACAATAACCACTGGAGATGCGTTAAGAGCTCTCACTTTCCTTAATTACGCCTTTTCTCAACAGCTTTGAAATGTGTTCTTGGACTTTTTTATATTGGTTGGGTGGGATATGCCGATAGGGCTCAGTGACCGGCGTGTCATCAACCAACTTGATTTCGTGTTTGACCTTGTCAGTGAAACCCAGATCATCATCATCATCTGTCAATACAGTACATCAATATACCTGGCTAGTAAGGCACAGAGAGCAGTTCACTCTGCATCGGTGCCACCAATGTCAAGTTGGTCTAGACTGTACTTTGCTGTCCAGAGGTTCATCTTTTGTGTCGACCGAAATCTGCTCAACATCTGCAGAGTTGTGACAAAACTTAACTTCACAGTTCTGGTTGCTTTCAGCACCATCAACCACAGACATAATGCCGAGTCTGACCCTCTGACATAGCCAGACCTCCTCCTGAGAGAAATTTACAACCTGAACTGGAAAAATGTTGTCTTTATTAGCTACCAGTGTTGAGACAACAGCCACACCAAGAGGAAGTGGGATATTTGCAGGCTCGATCAACAATTGTGCCTCTTGGCCAGCTCCCAACAAGTGACCCCTAACCATGACAGTGGCGACTGAAGCAGCTGGTAAGCGCACCCTGTTTCTACCTGCAACCCTAGCCATGGCCGTTCTCTCAACCCTACATGTCTGGAGTTGTTGAAATGCATTCCTCCAACCAGATTCCAAAGTCCCTCCCAACACTGTGTCAAACTGTGATGTGGCTTGCTGTTGGCACCTGCAAATGACATTCATGCCAACGATACAAGGCTCTGCAATGGTTGCATTTGCAGGCTTCAAAACCAAAAATCCACAGTTGGGGATGCTCAGACCCATTGTCTGAACCTCCAGCTCCACATAGCCTTGGTAGGGAATTTCAAGGCCATTTGCAGCAGTTATCTCTAGCCAACTGTCAGTAGGAACTAAGGCATCCTCATTCCCTAACAAATGCTTCTGGAAGAATTCATCTGTGACGGTACTGACTTAGCTACCCGTAACCAATAGACAAGCAGTTGGTACATTGTTCACTTGAGCTCCACTACTTTACACTTACCTATTGCACGTTCAATTATTTGCTCTCGTGTAAGATCAGATTTGGCTGAGTCTAACACTTGCCCCTGCATTGCCCAACTCACCACAACCAGGGGTTCTTGTTTCCCGACTGATTTTCCGCATCCTTACGTCGTTTTTGTGGGCACTGCTTTGCAATGTGACCTTCCGATTGACACCTAAAGCATATAGGTTTGCCATCAGCTGTAAACTTGGGTAGTGTCCTTGGTTGGTTAGCTACAGTCGAGCTACTGGTCGAGTTATGGGCAGCTAGATCTTTCACTGCCTTTGTCACTTCAGTAATTACTTTGCCTTGTTCTGCAAGGATTTTCATGACATCATCAAGTGAGACAGATTTCTCAGTTTTGTCTGCAGCAATAATCTTGCTATGTTCAGTTAAAACCTTTATGACATCCTCAATGCACCCTGGTTTTTCACTAGCGGTGCCAACTTCCCCATGTGCATCGGTAGCCATATAGTTACAGACCCACCCTATTGTCCTAACACTTTGTGCACAAAGTGTTACGACAAAACAACAAACAGCAAAACAAAATAGGATCTCCTAAACATGCATCGAACATCCCTTACCTCGTCCACAACCATATGGTACAAATTTATTCTCAACCATCCTGATAAAATTAAAATAAAATCTCACCATTTACATATGCATCCATTCCCATCCCAAGCCATGCATTTATTTTCTTCCGGTATTTCCCAGAATACATTGGTCTTTTCCATAACCCCCCAAAACTGAGGCCATCTACTTTGCAAAATGTGCAACTACAGCAGAAAATAACAGCTATTTTGTTCACCTGGTTACATATATCAAACTGTGGCGTGAGAGTGAGGCACCAGCACTGATGGCAACTAAAGTTAGATTGAAAACATACATGGGTGAGTTCATCCAGGTGCTTGGTATTTTGGAAGTGGACATTGTGTACCAAGGACAACAGGGTACAGGGCAGCTGTTCGTGGTCAAGGGGGAAGGTCCAAGCTTGCTGGGATGTGATATCTTGAGAAAAGTTCATCTGAACTGGGGGAAATAAAACACATGACTGTAATTGAGGACCTCCTGGAGAAATATGCTGAGGTATTCAAGCATGAGCTGGGCACGCTCAGGGGTACAGCTGTGAAATTATATATAGACCCCCATGCAAAACCTCGATTTTTCAAACCCCACCCAGTGCCATATGCCATGAAGGCCAAGGTGGAAGCTGAGCTGGACCAGTTGCAGCAGCTGGGGGTCATTGAGCCTCTGGCGTTCTCAGATTGGGCAACCCCGATTGTTCTGGTGCTTAAAGGGAATGGGGGGGTGCAGTTATGTGGGGACTATAAACTAACAGTAAATCAGGCCTCACAGTTGGATACATATCCCTTACCTCGAGTGGAGGATTTGTTTGCCACTCTAGCAGGAGGACAAACCTTTACAAAGCTGGACATGAGTCATGCGTATCAGCAACTACTGTTGGATGAGGACTCTAAGCAGTATGTTACCATCAACACCCACAAAGGATTGTTTAAATACAACAGACTGGTGTTTGGGGTGGCATCCAGCCCAGCAATCTTCCAACGCACCATGGACAATCTGCTCCAAAACATTCCTGGTACAGCAGTCTATTTGGATGACATTTTGGTCACGAGTAGGATGGATACCGAGCATTTGGAAAACCTGGAGCAGCGCAACCAAGCCAGCCCCCAGAGTTGGTGTTCATGTTAGATCAGCTGTCTAACACCCAGGTGACAGCAAAGCAGATTAAGAGGTGGACTGAGAGGGATCCAGTTTTGTCACAGGTGCAGCGGTGGGTGCGACAGGGCTGGCCAGTAAAAAAGGGGAACGAAGTGTTTGAGCCTTATGTGAAATGTCAACTGGAGCTAAGTGTGCAGGATGGTTGTCTCCTCTGGGGATCCAGAGTGATTGTTCCCCCTCCAGGGCACAGACAGGTGATAGAGGAGTTGCATGTGGCGCACCCAGGCACATCACAGATGAAAAGTCTCACCAGGTCATTTGTGTGGTGGCCAGGAATGGACAAGGCTCTGGAAGATAACATCAGAACATGTTCACAATGCCAGAATAACCAAAAGTTGCCAGCACCAGCTCCACTACATTCACGGGAGTGGCCAAGCCGTCCTTGGTCTCACCTTCACATAGATTTTGCGGGCCCGTTCAAAAGGCACATGTTTCTAGTGCTGGTAGATTCCCATTCAAAGTGGCTAGAAGCACATATCATGTCAAACATCATGGCCCCCACTACCGCAGAAAAACTCAGCAGTGTCTTTGCTACGCATGGTTTACCAGAGGCAGTAGTGTTAGACAATGGTCCCACTTTCACCAGTGAGGTTTTCCGAGAGTTTATGGAGAAAAATGGCATCCGACATGTCCACACAGCTCCGTATCATCTGGCCTCAAACGGCTTAGCGGAGCGAGCAGTGGAGACTCTGAAAGAGGGATTGAGGAAGATGTCGGGACATTCAGTGGAAACTAAGCTATCTCACTTCTTATTCCAATACCGGACTACCCCACACACGACAACCAGGGTGTCCCCAGTGGAGATGTTGCTGGGGAGGAGACCTAAATCTCACCTGGATCTCCTTCACCCAGACATAGGAGCAAAAGTTGTCCAGGGGCAGGATAAGCAGAAAGAGCAGCGGAACAGACATGCTAAAGTCAGACATTTCCAACCAGGGGACAGTGTATTTTTCAAGAACTTTACCCAGGAGCTGGCATGGCTATCCGGTGTCATCGTGCAACAGACTGGACTGGTATCTTTCATAGTGGATGGGGTGGATGGCCAGCAGATCCGTAGGCACCAGGATCATTTGCGGAGTTGCCCAGCGACTGCAGGGGAATGGTTGTAGAGGGATGTGCTGGTGGACTTTGGGCATAGCTCTGAGGTCGAGGTGCAGGACGCACCACAAACAGCTGATGGTCTGGGTGTACAGGCCGAGGGTCTGTCAAAACAACCTGAGGCACTTGCAGCTCAGTCTGCTCAGCTGAGCTGTGCACCTGGTGATGGAGAGGGAATGGCACAAGGTGCCCCGGAGGCCCCCGGAGGTACAGCTGAGCTAAGGAGGTCAAAAAGAAGACGCAGGCCTCCAAAAAGACTGACCTGTTGAGTTGTAAAAGAAATGTGTTTGGTTGGTGAGCGCTAAGCATTTAAATGGGGAGGGTCTGTAAGTTAAAAAGAAAAAAAAAAACGTACAGGTTCATAGCATGTGGTTGATTTGAACAGTCAGTACCCCAGTGGAGATGTTGTGTTTTCTAGGGTTATCAACCCTCAAGTTGAAACTTAAAGGGGGAGAGGTGTTATAGTTTGAGGCTTTTAAAATGGGAGCTAGGAACCTTAGTTAGGCATCTTGGGGGAACGTGTTGTGCAGGGGACCATCACGGAATCAGTCTGCCCCGGGGCCTTGCGGCAGTTAGCTGTTAGACATGTGTTCTCTGTGTACCGTTGTGCCGTTGTTCAGTAAAGTGATGAAACCGACCAGCGTGCTTGAGTTTGTTCCCTATCAAGTTATTACAGAAATCATCACTAGTGTGTGTGTCTGTCGGGGGGCAACAACGGCATGGTGGATAGAGCAGTCGTTTCCCAACCAGAAGGTTGAAGGTTTGAATCTTGGTGCCTGCAGTCCACATGTCAAAGTGTCCTTGGGCAAGACACTGATTCTCCACTAAAACTAGTTCCCACCAGATGCACCATTTCTTCCTGTGACAACAAGGACATCTAGAATAACAGCAGACTGATCCTTTAATGGGTTTCCAGCTACATTTAACACCGCTGTTCAAGAAATGTAGGTTTTGGTTCAGCTACATTTCTCAAATCTCCACATCACTTGTACATTATTTTAAAAAGATTATATTTCAAACAAATAAAACATTATACAACAGACAAGTGCAGCAGTTTACAGAGAATAAACCCTGCCAATCACAGCTGACTCAGGTGAGTTGTGGCAGATCCGAAGGCGCCATCAGCAGGTCGTCCACCTCCTCCTGCAGAGCTGCAGCCTTTTCATTCAGAAGCATCTGATCCACACACAGTCCACAGGTTAACCACTGTGTTCAAACCTTCACATGTGACACCATGAGGACCAACTGAACACAGTGAGACTCACCTTGGCAGAGGCCACGATCTGACCGGCCTGTTTCCTGTACAGGTTTTCTATCGTCCTGGAGAGAACAGCAGGGTCAGCGTTCGCCAGGTGGGTCAGCGTCTTGTAGCCAGTGTTGTACAGCTGCTTCGCTCTGGACTGGACGACAACAACACACACAGCTGTAGTAAACACACTGGATATCACACGTTACATGACCTTTGTTTCCCAGGACAGTTGAAGACGGACTAGAACGTATCCTTCCGCC